AGATCTCTACATTAGTGGTTTCCGTATGCACTGATTGTCAAATCAGCCTAAGTTCTTATCTTTTATCTGCATTCTAAAGCAATAAACCCAACTACCATGGTATCCATTTCTGTTTGGACATCTCACAGGCACTTCAAATTCAATAGGCCTAAAATTGAAATAATCTTCTCTCCCTTCATCTCACAAATTTGGCATTCCTTAGCTCAGGGACTAGCACTACCATGAACTCAACAGCGCTTGCCAGAAACGTGAGAGTCAGCCTGAAAATTTTCCTAGCCTTCCCTATGGCTCCAAATCTACAAATCCTACTTATTTTACTTCCTACTTTGTTTTTTGTACTTGCCTTCTACTGCCAGCTTCCACTATAATTTTATATCTAAGTTTTTCCAGTGGTTATATAATTGGGCTCCCTGTATCTACCCAGTTTTGCCCCACTTCAATTCATTCTCCACTCCTTAGAGTGATTTTTCTAAAATACTTGTTAGTCAATGGCTTAGAATTTTCATTTATTCATTCAATATTTATTGAATACTTATTCTTTAAAAGTCCCTACTTTTCAATATTTTAAACTCTTCAGCATGATGCACAAGGCCCTTTGTAATCTGACTCAGGTTTATCTCTCCTCTCCAGTCTTATCTGTCACGAACTAAACCATTTGCTGTTCCTCAGATCACAGATTGGCTTCTGCCTATACCGTCCCTTGTTCCCCAAATTCCATTGCCTGGCTAATTCTACTTTCCCTCAGTTGTGATCTCTGTTGGGAAATGTTCTCTGAATCCACATGGTAACATGAGGTATCCTTTGTCACTCTACCTTAATTATTTCTCTCCTAACTCGATTCTGAAGCACTTGAAGAATCTAACTTACTAATAATAAGCCACACAAAGCACAGTACTTGTAGCACAATTGTGGTGACCCATATATTTGTCTTAAATAGATGAATAGATGAAACAGGGCAAATATATCAACTCTGAAACAATATAGTTTGGAGTGGATTGGGTGCCCCCTTGACAGTGAATGAATACACCTAGGATTGCATATAGCACTGTGAATACCATGCAAATGGTAGGTAACAGACTAGACTCTACGACATGACTGTATTAGAGAATAATCAGGAAATGCAGCTTTGTGTCTACCTTAACTTCCAGTTAATTAGGTTATCTAACTGTGATAACCAAATTAGTATGTTGATACCTGCTGTGACGCTAAAATTTATGGTAGTATACAGCTTGGAAACAAACTATTGTCAATTCTGAACCTTAAATATTTTAATCAACTTGATCAAGGCAACTTAATTGCAAAAAGATGCAATTATACTTAATTTTTAATCAAGCCAACAAAGTTAAACAATGAAAAGTCTAAGTTTATTTATAAAACTGGTAAAAATAAAAGTTATTTATTTCAACAAAAAAAAAACAAAGGATGATAAAAGTATGTATCTCCAGTTTGTAACACCTAATGTATTAAGGATCTAACACTGAGTGTCACAGTGATTAACAACAGAAAAAGCTAACCAGACAGTACAAGGTTATATATGAATTAGTCTTCTTCCTCCTAAAAGTCAGATTTGAATCTGATTAAGCTTCCAAATTAGGAGTGTCCAATAAAACTTTCTAGGATGTCAGAAATGTTCTATACCTGTACCATCTATTATAATATGGTAGACACTAACTGCATTTGACTACTGAGCAACTGAAATATGGCTATTACATCAGAGGAACTACATTTAATTTTACGTAACTGAATTTAAATTTAAGTGACTACCTGTGGCTACTGGCCACCATACTGGGCAGAGGAGCTCTAGATATAACTACCGATTTGCAGGAAACATAAAGGAAGTGGGGAATGTTCAACCAATTACAGAAATGGGATCAATAAAATCACAACTGAGGGAACCTCTATAGGTCAAAAAAATCCAGTTTCTTCAACAAAGTACTATCAGGATGGTGATGACTTTTGAGGTGGGGAGGAAAGAAGTCATAATTAGGAGGTGGGCAATATAGTGAGTTTCTGAAGTAGATAGCAAGGTTCTCTTTCATAGATGATGTTGGTTATAATGACATTTGTCAAAATTCATAAAAACTGTATTAGTTTTGCTGTTTTCTGTAATTGTTTGCTTTAACAACAAACAGTTTAAACAATTTAAGTCTTTTTCAAAGGTGATTAAATAATGTAAAGAGAATATAACAATGTTGGATAACTAGTTCTAGTGTCTATTCTGACATTACCTAGCTATGAGATACTCCGCACAATGAGTTACTATCTTGTTGGGCCTGTCAGATGAACCCTTAAAATGAAGCTGTTACACTTGAAATAGCTTTGTAAGGTTTTTTTCTTTTAAGGCCCTAAACATACACATGCAATGAAAATTAACCAGCCAGGTGCGGTGGCTCACACCTATAATCCCAGCACTTTGGGAAGCTGAGGCAGGTGGATCGCCGGAGGTCAGGAGTTCAAGACCAGCCTGGCCAACAAGGTGAAACACCATCCCTGCTAAAAACACAATAAATTAGCTAGGCGTGGTGGCAGGCACCTGTAATCGCAGCTACTTAGGAGGCTGAGGCTGCAGTGAGCTAAGATCACGCCATTGCAGTCCAGCCTGGGCATCAAAAGCGAAACTCTGTCTCTAAAAAGAAGGGAAGGAAAATTAACCTGCATGATAATACCTTGCTTTTACGTTTTTTTAGAGTTGGGGTCTCACTATGTTGCCCAGGCTGGTCTTGAACTCCTGGGCTTGAGTAATCCTCTTACCTCAGCCTCCCAAAATGCTGAGATTACAGGCATGAGCCACCATGCCCGGCCATAACATGCATAGTAATACTAAGAAGACCTTAAATACCTTTATGTAACTTAAAATAATGATTTGCAAACAGAGCATGATTTATATATAAATTGATCTTTTAAAATTCAGATACCAGGCCAGGCACAGTACCTCACACCTGTAATCCCAACACTTTGGGAGGCCAAGGCAGGCGGATCACAGGTCAGGAGTTCGAGACCAGCCAGACCCACATGGTGAAACCCCATCTCTACTCAAAATACAAAAATTAGCCAGGCGCAGTGGAGCACGCCTGTAATCCCAGCTACTCAGGAGGCTGAGGTTGCAGTGAGCAGAGATCATGCCACTGCACTCCAGCCTGGCGACAGAGCAAGACTCTGTCCCCNAAAAAAAAAAAAAAAAAAGAAAGAGACAGATACCCTTGAAAACAACTGTCAAACAACTTTTTGTCAGTTTAATGAATCTCTGCAATTGCTACAGTGTTGATTTACAGCATTGTTTTTTCACCATAAAGGCAAATTTCAGCCTAATCTCATTTGTTCTGAATTAGCTCAATAAATTATGCTCTATTCCATTCCCACAAGAATCATGGCACATCTATTCACTATCTCTTTTATTTTTATTTTTTTGAGACGGATTCTCGCTCTATCACCACGCAGGAGTGCAGTGGCATGATCTCAGCTTACTGCAACCTCCACCTCCCAGGTTCCAGAGACTCTCCTGCCTCAGCCTCCCAAGTAGCTAGGACTACAAGCATATGCCACCACACCTGGCTAATTTTTGTATTTTTAGTAGAGACAGGGTTTCACCATGTTGTTCAGGCTGGTCTCAATCTCTTCACCTGTGATCCACCCACCTCAGTCTCCCAAAGTGCTGAGATTACAGATGTGAGCCACTGCACCAGCCTTCACTATCTTTAAACTTAAGAATGCCTTTTGCAGTACTGATTCTTGTTCTAAAGTAAAATGGACATACTTTTCATTTTGTAGTTCCTGTATTTTCTTTAAATTTTCTCTGTTTTTTTCTTCAATCTCTTCTTTAAGTTCCTTTACCTGGGTTTTATAAAGTGTCTGCAAAACAAGTGATATGAAGAAGTAAGTGTTTATGGTGGGTTAAAAACAATTTGGCAGTTTCTTATAAATTAAAAAAATTAACATACGATCCATCAATTCCACTCTCAAGTATTTACCCATGACAAATGCAAATATATGTCAACACATAGTCTTACACATGAATTTTCTTTATGGTTTCATTTATAACAGGTCCAAAGTGAAAATGATCCAGATATCCATCAATATGTGGGTTTAAAAAAATGTAGTTAAGGCTGGGCACGGTGGCTCAAGCCTGTAATCCCAGCACTTTGGGAGGCTGAGGCAGGTGGATCATGAGGTCAGGAGTTCAAGACCAGCCTGACCAAGGTGGTGAAACCCCATCTCTACTAAAAATACAAAAATTAGCCGGGTGTGCTGGCAGGCGCCTGTAATCCCAGCTACTAGGGAGGTTGAGGCAGGAGAAAAACTTGAACCCAAGTGGCAGAGGTTACAATGAGCCATAATTATACCACTGCACTCCAGCCTGTGTGATACAGTGAGACTCTGTCTCAAAAAAAAAAAATGTGGTTAACTCATAGTACTTAGCAATAAAAGGGAATGAACTACTAATAAAACATGTAAATCTAAGAAACCTAAAAAATATGCTGAGTGAAAGAAACCAAGTGCTAAAGAATGTATACTGTGTGATTCCATGTATATGAAATTCTAGGACAGGCGAACATAATCAATAATGACGGGAAAAAAATCAGTCATTGTCTGTGTATAGAGGTGGGTGAGGAAAGATGGAGAGTGAAGGGCCACAAGGGAACTTTTTGTGGTGAAAAAACGTTCCATATGTTGACTGTGGTGGTCACACAGTTGTACATATTTGTCAAAATTTACTAACCAGTACACTTAAAATGGGTATATCATATAGAAATTATAGCTTAATTAAGTGTATTATAGATTTGGGATGATATTATAAAGAAATTTAACACACACTACTAATTTAAATGTTAGGTTGTTCTTGAATAATGTTAGAAAAATCACTTCTGTTTTGGTGGGTGGGATGGACTGGGTAGTTGACAGACAGGTAAAGAAATAACCACAAATAAGATTTATCAAGTATTCTGATACTATATCTATAATATATGCTTATTTCAGAACAATGGTTCTTACAATATTCATTAAGCTTTTGCCAATTCCAACAAAAAATATTTAATACATCAGAATCACATTGTGTTAGCTGCTGAAGTTACAGAGTAAACTTCCAGTCCTGATGTCTACTTCTTTTTTAACTACTCTCTTTATTTTAAAAGAAAACAAGAAGGGGAAAAAGCTGTGGAGAACTACTTTAACACTTACTTATTACTCTAAGAAACAACGCTTTTCTAGGCAAAAAAAATACATAAATTTTTATGAGAATGTAAATGAAAATAACGGCTTACTCTAGGTTAAGTATTAAGATTTTCTAAAATTAAGTAAACTATTTAGCCTTTAGGACTCAGATTCTTACCTCTCTGACTTCAAATACTGAAATTCAGGTAAGTAAATCAATGAAGGGATAAAAAGAAAAATAATATGATTTAAAAACCCAGAATAAAGACAAATCTTAAAATTTGGTTGTTAACAGCTTATTGAATTGAATGCTATTTAATCCAATGCCCACAAGCAATGGAATAAATCAGAACTGAGACAGGGTCAGGTTTTGTACTATTTTCTAGAAGCAAACCAACACAAGTCATTTGACATCCATCCAAACATCTGGAAGCACTGGATAATTGCTCTGTGGAAGCTTATGTCAAAAAAGTGTATGGGATGCTATAGATCACTTTGCAGAAGTCAGTAGTACATACTTTGAATAATTACCTTTAACATACACTCAAGGAAAGAGTTTCCAACAATATTGAAAAGTTTTTCGTTTGTTTTGTTTATGAGACAGAGTCTTACTCTGTTGCCCAGGCTGGAGTACAGGGGCATGACCTGGGCCTATTACAATGTCCACCTATCAGGTTAAAGTGATTCTCCTGCTTCAGCATCCTGAGTAGCTGGGATTACAGGCGCCCAGCTAATTTTTATATTTTTAGTAGAGACACGGTTTCATCACGTTGGCCAGGCTGGTCTCGAACTCCTGACCTCAGGTGATCCACCTGCCTTGGCCTCCCAAAGTTCTAGGATTACAGGCATGAGCCACCACACCTGGCCTGAAAAGTTTTTAAAATTTAAAAACATATACCAATGACTGCCTAATATGCCAAGAAACAGACAAACAAAAAGTAGAAAGTCACAATGTTTATTAGAAGATGAGTCATGTAAAAAAGAATTACAGTTCACATAAAAGAATCTAAATACCTTAAGTCAGATTTTGAAACAGTGTGTATGTTAAAAATGATTCTCACTTACCGAGAAGTATTGCTCAGCTTCAAGCTGATCTTGTAGTTCCCGCATCTGTCCTTCATTTCCTCTATACTGTCTTCAGATGAAAAGAAAAACGATGAACAATTGCTCTTACCTATACTAGACATTATATTATTCTCAGTTTGTTAAAGTTGCTAAAATAAAAAAGGTTTGCTAAAACAATATTTTTTTAAAAAAAAAGTTTCATTATTATTTTACTAATTAATGTGGTCAGGCCATACTGGTTCTATCTTGCTCCTTATAAAATAATGCTATGCAAAAGTAGTGAGAACCCTTTTCTACTGATGATCACTTTTTAGAGAACAGTAATTGTGCGTCTATCCAAACCGAAAAAATAAAACTGATACCATATTTTTGGTTAATTTTTACAGAGAAAATCAGTCATAGGGAAGAAAATATCTTATACAGTAAGTAAAAAAAAGAGAGGGGCATGAAAATATTTAATAAGTAATAATTCAGTGCTATATACATAGTACTATAGTTAATAATAATTCAGTACTACATACTAGATATTATGGCCAATTAAGTACAAGAAAGGGGCTGGTGAAAATGAATCATCAAGTAAGAATGGAAAGCAAGAACAAACTGACAAATAAGGAGGAATGCAGACAGACAACTGCCTGTATATAATATAAACATAAACACAACTCAAATAGGAGCAGATTCCAAAAGATGGAAACATAACGTAACCCAAACACAGACTTTCAAGAATTATTTACTGTCTAATATGAAAACCTAGCAGCTAGGCTTGAAAATCTAGCTGCTAGACTTTCATATTAGTCAGTAATAGCTTTGTATTCTCAGTATCTAAAAAAGGCACGTAGTTGATAGAAAGTCTACAACAAATGTCCATTGAATGCTGAGTGAGAGTATTTTTGCAGAAAAAAATTATAAAACTCATTTTGATGAAAATGGTGGCCCTAAAAGAGGAAAAGAATTTCACCAATATAAATCCAACTTTAATATAAAGTGACAATTTAATCCAAGAATCACTTTTGTAAATGAAGCTAGCAAGTGATGATATAATAAAATAAATTTGGAGGAAATAAAAACATAGGACTTGGCATAAGATATATGCACTTTTGATATTAAACTTGCAAAGCATATTCTTAGACAAATTCTGAAAGCAATTCTGACATCTTGCTTGGTCTCCATTTCAAGTAAGCAGGCATATCACAACCCAAGAGTCATAGAAAAAGAAAAAAGACATTTTTGCATTTTGAGATGAATCAAAGACACAAAACAAAACAAACAAAGTGTCATCATGTCTAATTCTGGTCTCTGAAATGTAGAAATCTGAACATCTACCAGGCACTGTGATTTTCGTAATTCTAATCTGAAGAAATGTGATGACTTTTGTGGACATGAAAATCAGATGAGAAAACTGTGGTCTTTCCAAAGCCTGAACTCCCTTGCAAACCTCTGCAAGTAAATGCTTTTATTTCTAAATACTTTTTCCCTATCTTTCACAAACTCTAAGTACATAATCTGTATATATGCAAAATATCAAACATACAAGTCAATGATGAACACAAAAAAGAAAGAAATCACAATGTTATTTTTAAGACTTACTTTGTAAGTTGAGCTAACTCAAATTCTAATAATCTCTTTGCTTCCAATAAAGTATTTATTTCCTGTTTCATCTGCTTTTCTAAACCTTTTAAATTGTCTGCCTCGAATGCCTGAGTCTTCAATTCATTTTGTAACAACAGCCGCTTATTTGATTCCTGCTCCAGTTGTAGGGTTAGATTCTTAACCTATGAATGAAAAAAATAATTGGGATCTTAAATCTCTTTAATAATTTATTAGACATTATTTGAAAGAATACTAACCAAATCAAATATATCATAATTCATGGTACTAGAAGAAAATATTAGTATTTAAAAGGGTTTTCATTGTTCCACATGTTTATTATTGTAGATTTACTATTAAGTCAAAATTAATTTCCAAATTTCAGACATGAGATCTTATGGAGGGAAAAAAATTCTGGTTCCTTTCTACTCCAATCAGCGTTAAAATTCTGGAGTACAAGGTGATTATAAAAGTCACTTCTGGGCCAGGCACAGTGGTTCACACCTATAATCCCAGCACTTTGGGAGGCTGAGGCAGGTGGATTGCTTGAGCCTGGAGGTTGAGACCAGCACGGTAAACATGGTGTAACCGTGTCTCTACAAAAAATACAAAAATTGGCCAGCCATTGTAGTATACTTCTGTAGTCCCAGTTACGTGTGAGGATCACCTGAGCCTGCGAGGCAGAGATTGCAGTGAACTGAGATCATACCACTTCACTCCTGCATGAGTGACACTGAGACCCTGTCTGAGACACACACACACACACACACACACACACACACACACACACACACACATAAAAGCTATTTCTGGGGGAACATTTGAAAGGAAAGGAGTACTTAAATTTACCTGTTTATGTGTTCTACTCTATAACCCTTCAAAGCTTAACAAAACAAACTGAATGTACATTTCATTCAACTCAATAAATTGGTATGAAGTGCTTATTAGGTGTTGGGACCAATGAACTCAATGTACAATGACAAATGTACAGTGGTTTATAATGGCCTTCATGATTTGTTCTATCATTATCCATTCTCTACAATCTAATCATATTCTTCAGATCCTCAAATGCAACCAATTCTCCCTCACCTCACAGTTCTTGTACATGCTACTCCTTCTGTTCTATCCTCCTTCATTTGTTATTCTTCACCTCTCAAATTAAATGTCATACCCTTGGCAAGGCCTTCTGTAACTCCCAAATGTGGTTAGTCATACACCCCTATAACATTCAATGCTTCCTTTTTAATTATTTGCAATGCTTGTAGTTACTACTTTAATATCTGTTTTCCCCTCCTGGCTGTAAGTTCCAACAAAGTCAGAACCATACCTATATCTCACTTACTTCAGTAACCCCAACTCCTAGCACAGAACCAGGAAAATAATAGGTAGTCAAAAACTTATGTTTTTAAAATGACTGAATATTATCTTTAAAATTTTGAACATATATTCCTTCTGCATGCTAGTTTTTAACAGGTATCTCTAATTTCTCTTCTTTCTATTCCATTCTATATACCACTGCCAGACTGATTTTTCTTTTTCCTTTTTCTCTTTTTTTGAGACGGAGTCTTGCTCTGTCACCAGGCTGGAGTGTAGTGGCACAATCTCAGCTCACTGCAACCTCCGCCTCCCAGGTACAAGTGATTCTCCTGCCTCAGCCTCCCGAATAGCTGGGACTACAGGCACCCACCACCACACCTGGCTAATTTTTGTATTTTTAGTAGAGCCAGGGCTTCATCATATTGGCCAGGCTGATCTCAAACTCCGGACCTTGTGATACGCCTGCCTCGGCCCAGACTGATTTTTCTAAAAGTGCTTTCACCTATAGCTCCCATGCAGGTTTTATTTTTTATATTTTTTGAGATAGCATCTCACTCTGATATCCAGGCTGGTGTGCCATGGCACAATTTCGGCTCATTGCAGCCTTGACCTCCTAAGGTGCAAGCAATCCCCCCACCTCACCCTCCTGAGTAGCTGGGACTATAGGCATGCGTCACCACACCCAGCTTATTTTTGTATTTGAGACAAGAGTTTCCCCATGTTGCCTGGGCTAGTTTAAAACTCCTGAGCTCACATGATCTGCCGATCTGCCCACCTTGGCCTCCAAAAGTACTGGGATTACTGGTATGAGCCAATGTGCCTGGCCACCCATGCAAGTTTTAAAGAGTATCAATACTTTGGCCTCCAAATTTCTCCCATAACTACTCAACATGTTTCTTCTTCTCTGGTCATATCAAGTTCCTTTTTATGCCTTTTATGCCTTACTTACTCATTGTCTTATCCACTCAATACTCACTTTATTATCCATATCTTTACTGATAATATTCCCTCTACCAAGTAAAACTCTTGACTCTAAAACTATCACCTTTTGAAGTCTTATTCAACCTTTAAAACCTAGGTAACGTGTTACATCTTCTTAAGAAGGCTTTCAGTCTTTTTTTTTTTTGAGACAGAGTCTTGCTCTGTCGCCCAGGCTGAAGTGCAGTGGCATGATCTCGGCTTACTGCAACCTCCGCCTCCAGGGTTCAATTGATTCTCCTGCCTCAGCCTCCTGAGTAGCTGAGACTACAGGCACATGCCACCACACCTGGGTAATTTTTTGTATTTTTAGTAGAGACGGGTTAGCCAGGATGATCTCGATCTCCTGACCTTGTGATCTGCCCACCTTGACCTCCCAAAGTGCTAGGATTACAGGTGTGAGTCACTGTGCCTGGCAGAAATAATTTCTAAACTACATATAGTAAACAGGACATACTGTCATTTTACCTTTTATTAACTGCTTTATAAAATGTATACCCTGTGCTATCAATCTAAGCCAGGAATGACTGCAGTTAAACACTTTTAAGAAATCTAACAGCAACGCTCTTTCTTGGAGGATATAGGATACCTTACAATAAAGATACTGTTTTTTCCTTTAAAGTAGATGGTCAGTTTTTTCAGGGAAGGAACTATGATATTTCAAAATAGTTGTACTGTCATAGTGAAAAATGGCATAGATCATACAGAGCGAATGTTCAGTAACTATCTGATGAGGAAAAATTCTAGGTGCTGGGGTGGCATATAGCAGTGAACACAAACCCATGTCAATTATTTCATTCAAATCTCCTTCATCGTGTTTAAATTATAGATAACTCTTTAGTTGTAACTTATATAATCGTTTCACTTTTAAAAGATGAACAAAACCAGTACTATTTTTCTTACTTCATCCTCCATCCTTTCTTTATTTCCAGTCAAATGTTCTAGTTTCTGCTGAGATTGCTTCAGATCAACGTCGAGCATGGAACACTGTTTCTCAACCTGAACAACCCGATTTTCAGCCTTCTCTCGAGCTTCTCTTTCTTCTTTCAGCTTTTTTTCCATCTCTGTGAAAGCAAAAAGTTACATACTTTTAAAGAAAGAGCACTTTAATACATTTCACTTTATATGAGCTGTAAATTGGTTTCAAACATCTCGTTTTTATCCTGGGACTTGAATAGAGCTATTTATTATAGAAATTCTCATGTTATATGAACTATTTATATAGCAGAAATCTCTAAAGAAAGGGAGTTATAAAATATACAGTAATAAAATCTTCTAAAACCAACTCTTACCCAATGATAAGAGATTAATCAGTACCACTTTCAGACTAGAAGGTGAAGAGTGTAGCTAGAAAGAAAGTGAATTAACAAAGAATAATAATGAAGGTACATCAAGTAAAAGCAGAAAAATAAGGCTGAATTTATCCCATGCATTGTTCCAGAAAAGGTTCAAGAGGCTTAAGGCTATGGTAGGAACTCCAATTTATACAATTCAGATGAATAAAATTCTACAGTAGTATATTATCTCTTAATTATTACTACAAGATAGTAGCCTACACTGAGATTCCTTTCTTGAAATATACCTAGGCTTCTGAGAGGTTAGCTTTTCCATGTTCATGCAACTAGTAAGTTGCCCCAACAAGATTCAAGTTTATTAAGTCTGCTTTCCTACTCTCCGAGACTACCTTCTAGGTGAGAAAACATAAACTATTAAATAAATATAAATACACTATTCCATATCTTCCCCCCAAACTTACAGATAAAATTGTCACCTCTTAAGATCCTTCTGTTTAATCAAACACAAATCCATCCACTAACTATGTTCTTCTGACTCTTGATATATCTCTCCTGAGCTCCAGACTTAGATACCAATTGACTATTTAACATCTCCACCTAGGTATCTAAAGTTGTTAAAATTAACGTATCCACGACAGATGCCTTTACTTCCGACCTATCCCCGACCACTCCAACCCCAGTTAGTCTGAGTCTCTCTCTTTTTGTTTTTTGAGACAGCGTCTTGTTCTATCACCTGGGATGGAGTGCAGTGATGCAATCTCGGCTCACTGCAACCTCTGCCTCCTGGGGTTCAAATAATTCTGCCTCAGCCTCCTGAGTATCTGGGATTACAGGCGCGCGTCACCATACCCAGTTTTTTTTTTT